GCTGTCCTCCATATCTCTTTTACATACGGCACAATGCTATTAGTTAACCGACATGCAACGGTTACCGCTATAACTGTTAGATTGCAGGCGCTGTGCTCAGGCAAGAGTCCGCGTCAACAGCGCGTTTTGCGTTCCTGGGGTCGCATAGAGGCACGCGAATCGGTGGCTCGAGGGTGGGGCAACTCGTCAGTCTCAATGCCACCATGCAGTGCTTCCACGATGTCTTTCTCAAGAAGACTGCAAACTCCTGGGTACCGAGCGTGCCAATTTTTTTCAAATTGCAACGCCATATTTTCCTCTCATACTGGAACAAATTGATCCCAAGGTAGAAAACATCATACCATCTCTATATTGCTATTTTAATGTACCACGTACCTGCAATATAAACCCAGACTGTTGTTATGCATTGGCCTGTTTGATGTAGAACTGTCTAGTGTCGAACTCGGAATATGGATGAAATGGCGAAGGCTGCTGAAAATAACCACTCTAGAGTTTTACTGTTTAGTTCGCAGCTCTCCTATCGTTATGCAGCCTTCGTCCTTTTGCGAGTGTATTCTGATGTTATGAAACGACTTGTTTGAAATGTGAACATGTTATCGTGAATATCTTATCAAGACAACATGGCGTGTAGTGTACTTTTTGTCGAATTTGGTGCAAATTTATCTGTGGGTGGTATGTTGTTTCAAGACCGCTTCGATTCGTACTAGCTTGCAACACGGGGTGGTTTCTAAACCCCTCTACATTTGCACTCCTCTTAGCGCTTCTCCATATCAGTCTGAGTAATTCAGAGTTCCTGTACATTTTTAGAGATATTTGTAGGGATTTCTGTGACCATCCTATCTCGTTGCACGGAACGATGAGACCGGTGAAAAGATAAAACTCATGCACCAGGTGTTATTCGAGTTGGGAACTCGACGTTAGAAACTCATTCCTTTCCTTTCCGACATCGCCTTAACGATTAATGCCCTGTTGGAGTTTGAGGTCGGTCTTGGCTCTTAATATCGAGCTCTTACAGAGGCTTCGAGCATGCATTCCAGTTTATGTCCTTTCGTAGATTGATGCTAGGGTAATGTCACTGTGGAAGATGTCACGAGTGCAAATGGTTCAGGAAACT